TTGGTACAGGGTATGGATAAGAGACACCTTTTGCCTACAGAGCCTTAGTTGTCACTAGAGGCTGGAGCGCATGACCTGAGTCTGAACCTTCAAAGGTTGATGAACATATTCAGAGTCACCAGATTCTATCATTCATAATCTGAGTGACATTGCTTATCCACATATGCTTTCAATAGGATTAACTCAAAATGAATTCTAAGCTCGTGATCCTGCACACTTGAACATATGTTAGTATACCCATTTATTCTCTAAATACATTGTCATTATCAAAATCCAAGGGATACAAACAATCTTGTTCCAACAATCTCCCTTTTTTGATGATGACAAACAAATGTATTTAAGAACAATTGTTAATCATTTTAACTAACTACACAATATTAGAGTTTAAGATCTGTAAGCTCCCGCTGGGTCTAATAGTCCAAAGGTTGAGTTTTGAAAGCTCTCTCTAAGTTCTATCCAAGTTAATTTAAACTTATTTTGATAAAATAATGTTTGGATGAAAGCAATATCAAAATAATTGCATAATTAGTGTTTAGGTAAAATAAAAGCACTCAAAAAGGAAGGGGTATTGAAAACCCATGAGGAGGGACGCTTCTGAATGCTGAAGCCCCTATTGGTGGCGGAGTCTATGGAGGACCCCTTGGCCCAATATAAGTCAGAATGGGTTGTGTGGAGGACCCCTTGGCCCCCCTAAGCCATATATAGATATGTCTGTTTCGATGATGTCAAAACTTAGCTTCATAGAAGAATATATGTGGAACGTTATCACCATGTTGCATTTGCATATCTTGTTTCTCATGATTCAATTGCTCGCATAAAAATATCTCGTTTGGTGCATATAGATTGTCAAAAATATGTGTCATATGAGTTTGACTTTATTGGTGGCGCTTGCCATATCATATATGTCATCAAAAAGAGTCAAGATTACGAAAATAGGCATTTTTGAGAATTTCATGTCCTTGAGTCGACCAAAGATATGTTTCGGTCGACTCATACTGTGAGTCAGTTTTGTGAATTTGCTTCTGGTTGGCTCGCGCCGACCCACAGGTCGACTCATACTGTATGCATTTTAATATGTCTAAAATTACATGCTATGCATCGAAGTATACCTTGTTTCGGTCGATGCATGGTCCTGTGAATTGCAAAAGTTTACAACCGAGTCAGCTCAGGTCGACCCTGTTTTCTGCATAGGTCGACCACTCGCTGTTTTATGTTATTTTTCTGTTATCGTCAACTATTTTTTTGAATTGGTTTTAGTTGTTATGACAATTATGTTTGGTATATAAGTCTAGTTGCTTGTTTCACTTCACAACATTGAGCAAAACAAGAAAAGTGAAATAGATGTCGATTCGGTTCTCATCATCTTCATTTTCTTCATAGCATATCACAATAATCACACATAATCATCTTTGTTGTGCATTGTGCATTGTTAGAGGTGATAACGTTCGAAGCCAAAGATTTGGTTATCTGGTTCGGGTTGAGGAATCAACAGGTTTTTCTTGAATAAAACCTCTAGGGTTTTCTCCTCCATGATTCTCTGAATTTGGGAGTTTTTGCACGATTCGTCTCATCACATATTCAGCCGAGTGAAGGTGATCGAGGAGCGAAAGGTTTCGGGTTTATGTAACGGTAAACGGAGGATTGTGAGTGGGAGTTTCGGGTTCGACACGCGGGTGATTGAAATCAGTCGGGCCAGATTTTGAAGATGGAAGGTTGTTCAAAAATAGTGCCGCAATCGGAGGTTTATTCACAGCTGTCGAAGTACTTGATTCGACTCGAATCGAGCGGCAAGAAGATATAGGATCTACAACAACAATAGTGTTCGTTTGTTTGATAGCTATTCACTTCTTGTATAAACTTTCAACAACAGGTTATATCTATATATTAACAGGTTTCAATTCTATTATTAAAATTGAGGACAGACGTACCCTGAGCGAGGACGATGGGGGAACTGCCTCAAAAAATTGTTGTGTTTTTTGACTTACGTTTATATTGCTTAATATTTGTGTTTTAGTGCAAACAATTATATTAATCTAGGTCTGGTTTGAGTAGTGCTAAACTAATTTTTGAACCTAGTAAAATCATTGATTGTAAGAGGAAACTTGAGCAGCTCACTCTCAAAATAGAACTCCCTTGTAGTGCTCTGCACTCCAAGTGTTTGATAAATTGTATGAACTAAAAGCCTTGTGTGCTGTCTTTTCATTGTGTTAATATTTTTAAGGCATTGGAACTAGTCACACCACATAGTAAGCTGAATCAAATTAATAGTGTGATTAACGTAGTGATTCTCATATCTTATTATCGGATTCCATAGGCTTAACGCATATCCGATTTTCTAGTAGCCGTTCGTTTTAGATGGTATAGTTCCTCGATTGTTTCCGCAAATTAAACAATTTTTAAAAGCCAAACTTATTGGTAGTGCCAACTCTTTTAAGCAAGCGATCTATTTAACCCCCCTTCTAGATTTACGCAATCGTCTAACATGGGTTACGTATGGGCAATCGAATGTGTAGGTATCGAAATTCCCATAAATGGTATTGCTTCAGAGACAGGCTCTAAGACCATTGGTCCTTCTGTCAAAGATCCTATGGGTTGTTCTACTTTGTTACTAGGCGTATCCTGAGGAATATTTGGTTGGTTAGAATTTTCCGTAATTCTCCCCTTATATCTTCTCCTTGTTCTATCCTCGTTAGCGAAGGATACTTTACCAATTCTTAATAACATGTAATGAAGGTTTCAAAGAAAAAGTTTACCGCAGAAGTAATAAATTTTCAAAAATTTTGAAGCAAATTTTATGATCACTTAGCATTGTCCCATTGGGCCTGTCAATTTGTTCGCCGTGAAAATTGGTGAACAACCGCTAGTCTTTCAAATCAAAAAAGATTTGTTTTACTTGCAGGATCGACCACACAAATCCTAGGACATGTGCTAATCGATCTTAAACAAAGTTTAAAAATACGATGAACACTTCGACAGAGTTCATGATAAAATAGCTTACTTCAAATGTAAATGGAAGTGAACATGAAGGATTAAAGTCGAAATAATGGTAAAAAATTTAGAAAGTAACTTACATAAAGAAAAGACTAATTCTTAATGAAAAAGATTTATTAAATTGCATTGAAATGTAAAAAATGGTGTTACATCAACGTACATTCTCACAACCACGTTTCTCTACACACAGATACTTGGAGTATATTGAAGAATTTGTACACAACTGAACACACACAAATCCTAACACTAAGACTTGCTATTTATACTAATTGAAAATAACTTCCATCAACAACTAGCAAACTAAATCGAGACAAGTGGCGCTCTACATGTCTTCGATTTCTAGAAGCGTTCCACGTGTCTTCTTTGAGAAATGGATAAGAATGAATCTTTACCTCCTTTTATTTGAATTCAAAACTTCTTGTCGAAATGCCTTCAGTAGCACCTCTGTCGAATCGAATCTTCCAACTTCTAAAAAATATTTCTAAGCCCGTAAAATAGTTTCTCATGGAAAAAGGACGCCTTCGACTCACATTCCAAAAATATGGCTCCGGTCGAAGTCCTATGATTTTCCAAGAAAATCTATTACTTTCTTATAATCCAACTTAGGCGTCGAAATTTAGAGCCAACACATTATTACCTTTTTTTTATCCATTATGACACGTACCATAAAGGTGTTCGACTCAAGGAAGAAGAAATTCTAGAACTTTCTATTCAAACACTTTATTTTGTTGGAGCTCCTGATCGAGGGCTGGGGGATTATGTACGTCCTATAATTCTTAAAAGTCAAGTTATAAAGTCACTAAGGCCAAATATCAGAGCTAGTATGCTGAGTATGGGAGCCAATATGCCAAGTATTTAAGAAAAATGAAAATTGATGAGTTGTCATAGATAGAGCAAGTCGGAACCCGACTTGTAGGAGACATGTTGGTAAACGACATGTAAGATCTACATAAAGATTATGGGTAGCCACAAATTCTTATAGGAGTTATAGAAAATCATCAAGAAAATGTTACAGGATAGTAATGAGAGTCGTGGATGTTATGGATATGATTAACATGGGATTTGAGGAGCCACTTCTTAATGATCTAAGATATTAAAGACTAGTATGAAAAGGCTTTCCACCGTGGGAAGAAAAGGACGGACAACAATTACCACCCTAAGACAATACATATGTGATCTCATCTGACCTGCTTCAAGGGGATGAACCAAATAGTATTTATTAGTATATATATATATATATATATATATATATATATATATATATATATATATATATATATATATATATATATATATATATATATATATATATATATATATATATATATATATATATATATATATATATATATATATATATATATATATATATATATATATATATATATATATATATATATATATATATATATATATATATATATATATATATATATATATATATATATATATATATATATATATATATATATATATATATATATATATATATATATATATATACACTAATAAATAAATATATATATATATATATATATATATACACTAATATATATATATATATATATATATATATATATATATATATATATATATATATATATATATATATATATATATATATATATATATATATATATATATATATATATATATATATATATATATATATATATATATATATATATATATATATATATATACACTAATATATATATATATATATATATATATATATTAGTATATATATATATATATATATATATATATATATATATAATATATATATATATATATATATATATATATATATATATATATATATATATATATATATATATATATATATATATATATATATATATATATATATATATATATATATATATATATATATATATATATATATGATTTTTTCTCATATGTGGCATATCTATATATTATATAATATTTATGATACTATAAAATAAATATTCAAATTTACATACATAGTTAATAAAAAGAAAAACCTATGCATGATCGACATTATCTAAGTCTTTCTCTAATTCTATGACTTGTTCATCAAGTCTTTTATCCTTATAAACATACCGCTTAGCACAAAACAAATAAATTACCAAATTTATAGCACTCAAGAAAGCCAAGAGCCAATAGAAGTTATAAAGTTTCCCCTGATTAATGTCATCTGTAAGCCATGGGTGATGGTGATCTGTCACTTTCTGAACCAAAAATACCAACAAAGAGCTAATGAAAAATCCTAAAGACAAAGTACTCAAAAACAATCCTGTGCTCATAGTCTTCATCCCTTCAGGACATTCCCTTAAGAAAAAATCTAGTTGTCCCACATAAATAAAAGCCTCACCCGACCCCACAATGAAGAATTGTGGCACCAACCAAAACACACTCATGGGAATCACCAATGTAGAAGTATTATGTGTCAAATCATGCAAATGTGCCATCCTCGTACGTTTTAAATCAATGAGTGCTGCTGCAACCATTCCACAAGTTGACAACACTAAGCCAAGACCAATGCTTTGTAAAGGTGTTAGCCCTTGTGATTTGTTGAATAGTTTTCTTCTTATGGGAAGAAGGATTCGGTCGTAAATTGGGATTGTTACGAGGATGCTACCTATGAGGAATGTAGTTAAAGATGCTGGTGGGATTTGAAACGATTTTCCTATGTGACGTTTTAATGTTGTTGCCTGTGATACTGAGAATGTCACCATTTGTGCATGTATTGTCCAAAACATTATTGTTGTAGCCCATATTGGTAACATTCTTATTACTAATTTTACTTCTTCAACATCTGTTAATGATGATAGTTCCCATTTTCTTACCATATTACCATCTGTATTTGGATCCTTTATTGCTGCCTTGTCCAAGAATCTATTTCACATTTTAAACAAAATATTCAAACCAATGTTGTTGTGTCATTGTTAGAGTCGTGTTCATAATGTTTGTGCTTCGTAGGAAAATAATTGTTGTATAAAAATAATTATAAAGAAAATAAAGTTCATACCGGAATTGCTTGCTATGTGGTAACATTAGTTTCTTGTTCCTCGCGTCTTGTGGATCTTTAATATCTTTCACATTATACAACAAATATGAATCAGATGGCAACTCCAACTTCCTCTTCCTCCATGCCCCCATAAAAACTGCCGCAATCTGAGTTAAAGGACTCCCCATAAGTTTCTTATATCGATACCTCTTTGTTCCTGACAAAAACACAAGAAGAGCCGCAATGATAGCACACGCACATAAACCATATCCCCAAGCTCTTCCAAGATGATCTTGAATGTAGACAAGAACCGTCACTGCGAGTATCGAACCCATGCTTATGAAAAAGAAGAACCAACTGAAGAATTTCACCATTTGTTTTTTCTCTCCTTCATTTGATTCATCGAATTGGTCTGAACCGAAACCGGAGACACTTGATTTTATACCACCAATACCAAGTGCGATAACATAAAGAGCTATGTATAGAACCGTTAGTTGTAGGTTATTTGCTGGTTCACAAGAATTAGGACTGTTTTATGAGCAAGTTGGTGGATGAAGGTTTGGAATTTTTATTGTTATTGCGAATAATATAACACCCTGGTATATGAATATCAATACAAATTTTATATCAAAGATCCAAAAAAAAAAAGAAATTTAATCTATTTATTTTACATAAATTTTATTAGTAATGTCTTACAATTGCTTCAATAGTTCCAAAGATGGCTATGGTAAGGTATCTGTCAAAGAAATCATTGAAAGAATTAGTCATAAATTGTGGTTGCAGCAGTGTCTACAACATTTCTATTAGCGTGCATGGAGGCGTCATAAAAACAACAGTTGCATCCGCAATTTAAAACAATGAAGAAAATCATATATAATATTTTGATGATGTGTAAAAACAAACCTTCCTAAAAAAGTGTCCGCTACAAAGCCACCGAACAATGCAAGCATATAAGATGTTCCGAGGAAGTTGGTGACGATATTGGAAGAGGTAGCACTTCCTAAGTGCATGGTACCAGTCAAATACGTCACCAAATTTACAGCTATACCCATTGTTGTTAACCTTTCACATACTTCTGATCCTAAAATTTTATATATCACCAAAAAATCCTTATTATGCTAGTGTTCAACCATTGATTTGAGTACTATTGTATGAAGAAAAATATTTTTTTTTTGAAGAAAAGAAAGTACCTAAGATCATGGCAGATGATGCCCATCCACCAGTTTTGGATCTGTCTGCAGGATGACCCTTGGAATCCCATGCATCTGGAACGGTTTGCGCTTGCGTTTGAGGGAGAGCATTCATTACGAAGAACTAAGGAAATATGTATTGAGGAATAAGATTTCGAAAAGGTTACATATGTAACATATGTCTAACCAACCAATTACTTAATAAATCATTTGAAAATGAAAATTAGGATAAACATGAGAATAATATGAGGTAGAATAATAAAAATAGTTAAATACCACAATACTTTTATCTATCCTATTTGAACTTATTTCATTTATCTTATTTGTTAATATAAATTTTGTGACATTGTTTAAGAATCTTTACCAAAATAGTTTACAATATTTTTTATAAAATAATTTTATTTATTTTAGTAATTTTTAAAATAACATATGAAAATAATTTATAATATGTATAAACTAATTTAAATTTATTTCATTTTTTAATTTATTAGCCAATTTTTAATTAGGAATCTTGAATATGTGTATCTAGTCGTGAAAGTTTAGATCTTGAGAAGGTACTTCTCTCAAGATCTAAAATTAGAATTCTACTATATGTAAATAGCTTATAAAATAAATTAGAAATCGTGATTGATGGCCAAGTTAATTAATAAATTAAATTAAATTTTTAGTTTATAATTAATTATATATTTATTAAATTGTATACGTCAATATGAGTAGATGTCAAAGTGAAATAATCTATTTCATAATAACAAAACTCTAATTAGTCAACCACTCTATGATATTGAGTTATAATTTCTAATACATTGAAAAAATTAGTAATTTTCTAAATTTTAGACGAAACTTATGAAGGTTGTTACCAGGATCACCGACTTCATACTTACAAGTACATAGATCCATATTATCCTTCCTTTTTATGATGAAAAACATCTTTTAGGGTGGTTATAAAGACAAATATATAACTAAAAAATTAAAGTGGTTAAATTCCCCCTCACATTTGTTGAGAGTATACTTATCCCCCTTTGTCTTATGCAAAAAGGCGGGAAATATACATAACACATAGATCATAAAATATCATAAAGAGAAAGGCATGAATAAGAGGGAGAATAGGCACATAAGCATAATAGTACATGTATGATATATTTAAAACTTCTAGTTTAGTTCTTATAAAGAAGAAGCTTGCTTTAGGAAGTGGTTTTTTCAAAAACTGTTACTATACTTAAATACACAATCAAGATATTATATTGTGTTGTACTTTTGTAACCTTCCTTCAAGTCTTCAACTTCCTTTTATAGAGGCGGAGAAAGAGTCATTGGAGGGTTGAGCATAATAGCTAACTTCGTAAAGTAGTATCCCAAGAAAGACATTAGAAGATGTATACAGTTAGAAGCATTGTTGATTAAATAATGGAGTTTTTCACAACACCTTTCGAAGTACTAGATATCTACCAAATTGTAGAACAGGCTGAAGATGACACATCACCATTCCTTAAGCCTATCAAAACAAAATCCTAGTTGACTCTCTCTAAAATTTTGGCGCATTGGAAAGACTGGTATGCTTTTGGTACAGGGTATGGATAAGAGACACCTTTTGCCTACAGAGCCTTAGTTGTCACTAGAGGCTGGAGCAAATGACCAGAGTCTGAACCTTCAAAGGCTGATGAACATATTCAGAGTCACCAGATTCTATCATTCATAATCTGAGTGACATTGCTTATCCACATATGCTTTCAATAGGATTAATTCAAAATGAATTCTAAGCTCGTGATCCTGCACACTTGAACATATGTTAGTATACCCATTTATTCTCTAAATACATTGTTATCATCAAAATCCAAGGGATACAAACAATCTTGTTCCAACAATCTCCCTTTTTTGATGATGATAGACAAATGTATTTAAGAACAATTGTTAATCATTTTAACTAACTACACAATATTAGAGTCTAAGGTTTGTAAGCTCCCGCTGGGTCTAATAGTCCAAACCTTGAGTTTTGAAAGCTCTCTCTAAGTTCTATCCAAGTTAATTTAAACTTATTTTAATAAAATAATGTTTGGATGAAAGCAATATCAAAATAATTGCATAATTAGTGTTTAGGTAAAATAAAAACACTCCCATGAATTTCTCCCCCTTTTGTAATCAACAAAAAGATAATAAATATATATATACTAATGACTGATAAACATATGTACCATATACTTAAAGATGGTCAAAGGTATACTATGACGCATGGTTTCCAAGAAACAATAAGCACAGAGGCATAAGACTCAAAGAACACAGTCTTCAAGATAGAGGAGGTTCTAATAGGAGCCTTATAAAAGTAGATGCAGAAATAACACCAAATCACACAACTCTAGAGAGTCTTAGGGTAGACATAAGAATGGGAAAAAGAAAGACATTCAAGGCAGACAAGAGAGATTTTTCAAAAGAGATATGCGATATGATGAAAAATTATGCAAGAAAGGAGAAGAAGAACAAGGATGGGGAATTACCAAAGACTTAGAGGTCCACAATAGTAGATGAAGAAGGCACATCTTGTGGAGTCTCTAAAGAGAGAAAGATTCAAAATGCAGAGGAGGACTGGGATGAAGATTGGAAAACTTTTCTAGAGACATATAAGGAGAAAAATGATCAAGTCTGAAGACATATGTAATAGTTTTTAGGAATTTGTCATGTAATGTCATATGATTGAATGAAGTTTACATTTCTTTTCCAATAGTCACAAACTTCCTTTGAAATCCTTCATATATGCTTATGCTTATTAATTAGCCGGTAAGAGAAATAAGAAAGAAAAAAAATAATCCAAAAAAAATCTTTATTAAAAACATATAAGCTACATAGATAAAACACAAAACAAACAAAACAACTAAGCAGAAGAAGAAGAAGAAGAAGAAGAAGAAGAAGAAGAAGAAGAAGAAAATCTATCCATAGAGACCACCTAGACTTTAAATGGGTTAACAACTTTCAAAGCTTCTATATGCTTAAACTTTTCTTCTTAGACTTGTGAATTAACCGCAGTCATACTTAACCCAACTCCTTGTTGAATGAAGAGTTTAGAGAGAACCTTTCCATAAGGAATGAAACGTGACTTTCCCTCTTTAAAAGATGTCAGATTCATCTTTAGATAATCAAACATAACTTGAGGGAGGTTAATTCACTTATTTGAGTTGAGAAGTAAGAAAAAAGCTTTTTCATCACTATCTCAAGAAGTCGGATCCTTGTCCTTTAGCAGGAAGTTTGAAATCAGCAAGTGATACCAAAATAATGCCTTGGAATTGAGATTTGAAACTTTGGATATGTCAGAGAGATAATCAAAGATAAGATGAGGAGACAAACAAGATTTCCAAAAGAGCATATCTAGAACCACAACTTCATCCTCACAGTTTATTGCATTAGTAATAGAAGTGGGGGTGATGGTGATAGGAACTCCAGACACAACAGAAAGAATAGAAAACTCTAGATTAAGTTCTTGAATGGAAGCATTCACCCAAAAATCCTTGATTATGTTAGGGTAGGAAGGACCATAGATCATATCAAAGAAATTATCTCAACCTTTATGGGAGACAGTGCTTTGAAGATCAAAGCCATGAACCATCATCTCTTCAAAAACAACTTGTCCTTCAATGATAATAGCCAACTGTTTTTTCATACCAAGATTATATCTAGAGGCCATCTTAGACAAGGAATAACATATGAAAGAAAAGAAATTTGCAAATAAACAAAAAGATGTTCCCAAACATGTAGACAATTATTTGTCAGAAAGATGCAAGATACATGTTTTTGCTTTAAGACCACTCAAAGATGATATTTAGGAAAAAAAAATAAATACAAATAAACAAGTAGGAATACATGAGGAGACGACAAAGGGGTAGTTTCACATAAATAAGGAAGTTTTACATCATTACACAATAGTCTTTACTGAAACAACTATTGTGCAATATAATTATCAAACATGCAAATTCTATCTTAAGCAAATAATTAACCTCTAGAGTCTCAGAGTCTGATATTTTTCAGAAGCCATTTTTCAACAGAGCCAGTTTTCTAGGCTCTAATTGAAGCTACTTATGAGAAACATCAAACTTTGATACTTTAATCTAACACAATCATTATTCTTCAACATACATCATGTTCAGATTCATCTTTATAAAATAAAAAAATTCAATTCTAAAGGTTTTTTAAATATGTCACCTCATTGTTGATCAATATTAATGAATTAAATATCTATAACTCCCTTTTAAACATAGTCTCTTATGAAGTGATGTTTAATCTTAACATTCTTGGTTTTAGAGTGTTGAACGATATTCTTTGTTAGAAAAATAGCAGTAGTATTATCATAGAAGATATGGATTCTATTTCAAAAAATCTGATAATCCTTTTGTTGATATTTCATCTAAAATAGTTGTGTGAAACACTTAGTAGCAAGGATGTATTCTGCTTCTGTTGTAGAGAATTGACAGTTTTCACCTATGAATTGACAATTTTCACCAGTGGACTTTCTCTCAATTTTATCCCCAACATATTTAGCATCATAGAATCTAACCTTCTTATAATATAGAGATTTCATATTAAGAATTCCTAGATTTAATGTTCCTTTCAGATACCTAAAGACTCTCTTAACAATAGTTAAGTGAGTTTCTCTAGGATCTGATTGAAACCTTGCTCACAAACACATGCTAAATAATATATCAGGCCTAGTAGTTGTAAGGTAAAGGAAAGAACTAATCATACCTTTGTAAACCATTTGATCCACCTTGGAGCTACTCTTTTCCTTTTTTAGACTACATATTGGATGCATAGGAGTTACCATATCTTGAATCTTCAAGACTAAACTTCTTTAGTAGCTCTTTTGTAGATTTTGACTGATGAATATAAGTTCCATCTTTGCCTTGATTGATTTAGATTCCCAAGAAGAATTTCAGTTCTCCCATCATGCTCATCTTGAATTTCGCGCATGCTCTTAGAAAATTATGTCATCAACATAAATTTGAACAATTAAGATTTTCTTGTTAAGAATATTTATGAACAATACAGTGTCAACTTGATCCTTTTCATAATCATTTTCCAACAAGAAATTACTTAATCTCTCATACCAAGCTCTAGGAGCTTGTTTGAGTCCATA